AGAGAAAGGGAAGCCACCCCTAGACAAACTCTTAAAAAAAAAAAAAAAAAAAAAAAAAGATTTGGGCTGTGTCTCAGGGGTAGAGTCCTTGCCTAGCAATGCATAAGCCCTTGGGTTCAATCCCCAGTAGAGCAAAAAACAAAAACAATAAAAAACAAAAACACCCATAAGTTAAGATTTTATAAAACCTGAACGCATATTTTCAAGGCCATTTAAAGTTGGTGTCTCCAGGGTTGCATTTCGTTTTTTAAAAAAATTTTATTGAGTTTATTGGTACATTTTAGGTACACAGTACAGTTACATTCGTCATTGGGATCTTACCTTTACATGACAGGTCTTGGTTCTCATTTTTTCCCCTTTTCCCTGCCCTCCCTCATCTCCTCCTCCCCTCCCCATTTACAAACATTTTATTTCCATTTTTTCATTTTCTCCTATTTGTTTCCTTTCCCTTATTCCCTTTCCCCTACCCTTCCCACTTTCCCTACACCTTTAGCCCTTTTCTTCCTATTTCACATGGTCAATTATCTCATTAGGATCTTATGTACTATTATAGTTTTTCACACCAGAGAAACTATTCAGTGTTTACACATGTGTGACTTATTTATTTCACTTAGGAGTATATCCTCAAAATGTATCCATTTTCCTAGGAATGAGTCTAATTTCTCATTCTTTATGGCTGAGTAGTATTCCATTTTATAGAAAAACCACATCTTCTTATCCAGGGTTGCATTTCAAACAAATGTAACTTCTTTGTTTTTGACTAGGTTGATTTTATCTCAGTCCTTTTAGTGCCCCATTTTCTGTACTTCCCCTTTGGAAAATGATTCAGTGTTTATGTCAAATGATGTTTACAGAACTTAAGTGTGAGCTTAAAGCACCCCCACCACACCCTGGCAACCTAATTTCTAGGTTTAAAGTCAGCTACACAGGTCCCTATCCCAGGCTTAGGAGCTGCTACCTTGCCTCACCTGGCAACCTCCCTACCCCACCTCCGAAGCTACCGTACCTGTGGTGCTAATAAATCTTTCTCTTTGGTCATCTCCAGGTCTTGAGTCAACCTAACTATTAATAATGACAGTCAATTCTATTTTCTTTTGTGATTTTTTTGGGGCATGTGTGTAGCCATGTGGGTATTATATACAGAGCAGCCTTTTGCTTCAGAGAATATGTTTAAAAATAATCTTGTCATCTAGTCCTTCAATATTTTCATTTTCTCACACTTAAATATTTGCTTCACTTGGAATTCACTTTGCAGTAACATGTGAAAAAGTAGCTCTTTTATTGTATGTCATGTTGTCACAAGAACATTTATTGAATAGTTTCTTTTCTCCTCACTAATTTTAAGATCCTGATATTTTGCATCTTCTAAAATCTGACTTATTTTTTTACCCTTCTGTGGTGCTGGGGATCGAACTCAGGGCCTAGTGCATGCAAAGCATGTAAACTACCACTCAACTGCATCCCCAACCTCCAAAACCAGATTTTAAAAAAATCAGTGTGACAGACTTTCCCCAAGACTCCTAATTTGAAAGTAAGAAGCACCCCTTCCAAACTTTTTAGTGTTCACACCTTCTTTTGAAGCCAGAAACTCTATACATCTGTTTGTTTCTCTTACTAGTAGTGAGTGATGTCAAACTAGGCCAAGAGGCTCTAATGATAGACTTTATTCTCTTGGGCACAGTCAGAATATCATTGCTTTCAAGTCAGCATATCCTTGCTCCAAGTGGGAATACAACAGCATTTTAAGTCTTGGTCTTACATCCACTAAGATGTGGTTTAAGACTTCTCAATTCAGAAAGATACTGAGCTAAAGCTCTCCAGACAAATCAGTGATTAAAGATATACTCTAATAAGAACACGCCTACAGAAAATATAAGGTAAAGGATCTGTGACATTAATAAGAGGGTATAAGAAGTATTCCATAATCTCACAATTTTAGCTCTTTTACAGAGGCATAAGAACCATCAAGGCCCCCGAAGATTGCCACCGTCTAAATGTAGGTCTAAGAGTGTTTTCTGCTTGATGACTTAACAATAAAAATTTCTGCACTAAAGTGAATAATCTAGGACTGGCATGCCATACTCACTCAGAAATAAAGAAAAAGAAACTAGAGACATTTATAGCTAAGTGGGTGCACACTGAGGCCATACTCTTAAGTGAAATCAGTAGGACACACATGTGTAAATACTGAATCATTTCATTGGTGTGAGAAACTAAAAGGGTAAATAAGGATCAAAATGTATAATTGATATTAGGTAATAGGAAAAAAGGTCTAAAGGTGTAGGGGAAGTGAGAGGGGTAGGGGAAAGGTAAGAAGGGAAAAGAAAAAATAAGAGAAAAGGAAAAAATGGAAACAAAGTCTTTGTAAATAGGGAAGGGTGGAGGGGGTGAAGGGAGGGCAGGAGAATGGAGAAAAAACAAGAACCAAGATACATCATGTAAAAGCACAAGATTCCAGTGATGAACGTAACTGTACTGTATGCCTAAAAAGTACCAATAAAGAAAAAAAAAGTGGACATGGAATCTGCAAAGGACAGAATGTATTTCACACTACACAGCGCGAGACTGGGTTACCGATGTCGGCGATGAGGCTGCCGGGCTTCTGGTCCTGGAGAAACTGGCAGACCCGAGGCCAGGCTTTGCTCTGCAGGTCCCTGAAGTACGGGGCGGTGCTCTCGTACACATCATGCACGCGCTGCTTCTCCAGCCGGGCAGCTTCAGGGTCCATCCTGGAAAAAGCAGGTTGGCCTGAGGCATGAAGGTCAGACAACGTCCTTGAAACAGCTGAAAGGGGTCACACACCCTCGCGTCAGGATTTACGACTGGGAAAGTTGTGCTGCTCTTACACTTTCTTCATGCTGCGACAAAATTTTCCATATAACCTCATCCTGGTTGCCCCAATGTACTTACAGTCTTTTTAGAAAGTGGTGGTTTGGAAATGGGCTAATCAATGTTAGTGTCCTGTGCAAGATGAATTCTGAATTTTAGAAGCAGAGCCAATATTCTCATCAAATGGTTCACTTTAGGTAACATAATTCTATTGGATGCTAAATAGATTTTAAAATTTTATAACAGGTAGTTCATTATACCAATCAAGAAGCCCTATGAGCTGGACCTTTTTAGTATCTTAGATCTCAACCAGTTTTCTACATCCATTACTGCTTCTATTTTAAATAAGGGGCTGATTTCTTACCTGAACTATTTCAAGAGCCTGCAAACAACTTTGCTGGTTGTTCAATGCTTTCCCCTTAAATATGTCAGAACAATTAATCTGAAATATAAATCTAATTGTGTTGCATCCTATCTTAGTCTTTTACAAAGGCATTTTACAGCTTGTAATCAAGTTCTCTTTCTGATCTGGCCTCCACTTAGTTCTTTTTTTTGGTACCTGGGATCGAACTTGGGACCTTGCGCTTAGGAGGCAGGTGTTGGAACCACTGAGCTAAATCCCTGGCCCCATTTAGCTCTTAATGTTCTTTTCTCACAATCTTTCTCTAGCACCAAATGAGCCCGTAAGACTCAATGATGCAGGGCTTCTTGGATGTAACACACTTCCTGTGCTGTACTTGCCTAATTTCTAGTCACTCTCAGTACAGGTATCACTTCCTTCAGGAAGGCTTCCCTGAACTTCCATGCAAGGTCAGGTCAATCAGAAAGGAATGGGAAAAGTTAAAGAGTAGATTCTTGAGGGCCCTGCTGTTTAGGGATTAATCCTTTATTCTCCTGGACCGTGCAAGTGAGGAGTCTCCCAGGGAAGTGGCCAGGAATTCAGAATGTAGTTTCACCAATAAATATGAAAGTACTGTCGATAATTTAAAAACCTATTTGGCTTTCTCTACTGGTGCCTATTACATAATACAGCACTTTCTCATATGCTGTTGCATCCCACACTAACCTCTATAGAGCACAAAGTTCTACAATATCTGTGTTTATATATTTGCTTCTGACACTTCCTGGGAAGCCCCAGGGTACCTTCTTAGCTAATGCTGGATCTCTTGCACTAAGGAGACAGCAGGTCCTCAACAAAGGAGCAGAAAGGATTCTTGACTCTCAGAATAAAAAGTAACATGAAGCAATTCATGTCCCTCTGGGGAGTGTGGGAAGGGAAGACCATCTCACATGTGCAGAGCAGAAAAGGGAATATGTTCCTGGAAGCCTATTTCCTCCTACCGCTATCTCCAGGAGGAGGCCCTTCCGTGAGATGCCATCTACCAAGATACTTCATTATAAAATGCCCTTTCTTCCTCTCACAGCCAAGAAATACCTTGTGGAGAGATACTTTGAGGCTATGTAAATATTATGTTTCTAATGCATGTCCACCAGTTTGAGCATGCACTGTTGATTCTTGTACCAATTATTCCTACAACTGCTACCAAATTAAGATCCTAATTCCAACATTCCTGCCAATACACACACACACACACACACACACACACAAAGAGTTTTTCAGGATTTACTCTTACACCACTCCTCAATACACACACACACACACACACACACACACACAAAGAGTTTTTCAGGATTTACTCTTAAAAAGCAATAGTAAGTTGTTCTTATTCTCTATGGATCCACATCCTTTGCAAAGCCAGCTCCTAACAGAGTGTAATCCAATATGTGAGGTCTAACAAAACGTCCATCCAGATTTTATGACACCTTCAGATGGAATTCACCAAGGAAACATATGCAAACATATGACTTTAACTGACTACAAAGGAGAAACAGCCAAAGATTTAAGTTAATGTTTTTTACAAAATCAAAATCTCAGTATATACAAACCTATGTAATTTCCCCTCCCCGCAAAGACTCATTCAGGCACTATAATTTGAAGAATCCTGGAAGAAATATATTTTATTCTATTCTATTTGCAAATGTTAAGAGGCAACTGACAGAAACTTGATTTCTTCAAATATGTGTTTTTTAAAATGGCTTCAATTTAAGCTCAGAATCTATTGCATCTGCACAGCACTACTTGGACATCTTTCTCTAAGTTTTCTCTGAAATTTCCTAGACTTTACTATAAACAAGAACTCTTAGACATATCTATTTTTCAGATGAGGGGTCAATGTTAATCTATTTTGTTTTTATTCTATGTTACAGTTCATTTAGCTGCTGCAAAATAAACTGCTGATTATAATTACTGACACATAGAGTTGGGAATATCCAATATAACAGTTTTGACCTGTAACTTACTTTGTATCCCAGGGTGGTCTCGAACTCACAGTGATCCTCCTACCTCAGCCTCCCTAGTGCTGGGATTACAGGCGTGCGCCACCACGCCTGGCCCAATATAACAGTTTTGAAACTATGGATTCAAATTTTCTATAATACTTTCCATATGAATTTTGGGTATGTTGTATGTGATGGTAGATTGATTGCATCAACTTGAGAAGTTCAGTTAAGAGAAGTTTAAGTAAACGGGCTCAGCAATTCCACACCCTAGGGCATGGAGGATCCACCCTGGGGCAGACCGTGGCTTGGGTGGAATAAAGGGGAAACGAGGAAGGATGAAAGGATGGACGGGCTTCTGCTGTCTTCTGAGGAGTTCCAGTCTTCACCTTCACCTTGGCTTCCAGCCTGGACCCTTCAGCCTTCCATCGCAGACCCACCGGCCTCCTGATACAGACCTCGCACTGGACACTGCAGTGAGCTCCAGGCCCTGGACTAAGCCGTCTGGTCTCCAGTGTGCAGATGGACCCTCTGCATCTTCCTCATCTGACTGTGTGGTTGGCCACTGTAAGCCAATCTTGTAAATTCATGTGTATATATATATATATATATATATTTGTATATCTTGTTTTATATCTGTTTCTCTAGTAAATACTGACCGATGATACATTCTATAAGAGAATTCCTTAGGTATTTGGTAGCATTAGTACAATAATAAACTAGTAATAAAATGAAAGCACAGGATTCCAAGTAAAACAAATTAGAGAAATTAGTCTGTCTGGGCCTTCTAAACTGCTATCAAATTCCACACATATAAAATACTCCAGATAGAAAGCGCCAGCAGTCAGAGCCATACATAATGCCCTTCTTTTGATTCCAAAATGCATAGCAGCATACTAAAGGGTTTCAGAAATCCTGCAGAAAACAGTCATAATTGGCCTTATATTTGGGAAGGTACCAGGGATTGAAGTCAGGACGTTGTGCTTGCAAGGCAGGCAGAGTGCCACTGAGCTAAATCCCTGGCCTTCTAATTGGTTTTTAAGTCTAGTTTTTCTCAAAATCATGGAGCCTATAGCATTTTTTTCTTTATTTAAACGCCTCTTGTCTAATCTGAGAATACATTCTGCAGGAAACATTCTGGGAAATGCTACTTCAATGATTTCCAATTTGAGAGCCTCCCTAAAACAGAGGCAACATTTTCCCCGAGTATCCTTAACATTCATGTAATTTTAATGGAAAAAGATGAGACTGTATATATTTTAACCAGAAAGTCAGAGGGAAAACACAACAAAATGGCTCTCATCGCCCACCTGAAAGAGACTGCTTCCGAGCCATCAGCTGGATGCCAGCCACACTGGCCGGGTCCCGTGTTGAAATAATTAAACTAAGCCTTGAACAGTTAAGACGACCACAGGTGACAGGGTACAGTCGTGGCACCTCCTTTAAGCCATATATATACAAGTTGAATCAAGAGAAGACTGATTTGCAAAATAAATGTGAGGAAACCAAGATGAGAGAAGGTGATATTTCGTAGACATTGGAGGAGAGAGAGGCAGAAAGGGGAAAGGCTGGGAGATGGTTTTCTACTTTCCTTCCCATATTGGCTCTAGGCAGCACCCTAGGGTCATCAACTCCAAAAAACTTTCATTTTACAGCACTGGCTTGGGCCTAGAGCACTTCCCGCCTTTGAATCTCTACTATATTCCGTTTTGGCTCTAACATTACTCCTCCCTCGAATTTATTTCTGCATCTTACAACCCCAGCTTTCCTAAGACAGGAAAAACATTTTCTGAATTAAAGAATATCTTGAACTCACTATTTCACACTTCAAATAACTGTAATGTTCCAGGGGTGCTACCCATTTGTTTTCTGCTACTCTTGAAGCAGTCTATAAAATTTACAGTGTAACTTTGGAATGAACAAACAACAAAATGGAATGCCAGTAAGCACATGACGACAAAAGGAGCAGAGATGGGTAGAGAAAGGACAGAGTTACTCTTCCAGGGGATGCTGACAAAAAGCACAGGAGCCTGCTAGACTTTAGGTCTTCTCCCCTCTCCTTCCCCTGCCCACAAGCTCTGCCTACCTTCTTGGGCCTGGTTATTACTCGCTCAGTCTCCAATATTCAAATGCAGAAGCACACTATTTGATACTTTTCCCACTTCCTGGACTCTTTACAGGACCTGTAATTTGTACACCCTGCCTTTTCTAACTCCAAAAAAGCCTTGTCTGTGCTTCCTTTCCTGTTCACTTCTATTGGCAACATCCTGCTCACTCGTCAGAGCTCAATCTCTTTTCCTGTTTTTTTCAACGCTTGAATAATTTTCAAAATTCTTTTTATAAATATAAGAGTAACACAGCAAGACTAAGTGTACTGAAATATGATTAGTGCCTGTCAGGGACTGAAGCAGAGAGGTAACTGACTGCAAAGAGGAAATAAGAGGAGTTTTCAGAAGGATAAAATTTCTCCATGCCTTGATTGTGGTGCTGGTTTTACAACTTTGTTTTTTAGTGCTGGGAACGGAACCAAAGCCTTGTGTATACTAAGCATGTGCTCTAATATTAAGATATATCCCTAGTCCTGGTTTTTAACCTAAAAAGGATAAATATTCACTGGACATACATTATATCTCTGTGAAGAACCACCAAACACCCGAGATTTTATCCTGTTTGCAGGCTAACAAATGAGCTTGCCATAGTTTCATGGATGCTAGAAGAAGCCACAAGACTCCAAGGTCTGGGACAGCTGATTTTAATACTTAGCAGCATGAGCTGCAGGTTTGTGGTGATTCCCACCAGCCTCACATCTCATGGAGAGGATGCAGAGATAGGGCCTGGAAGAAACTCTGCACACAGCAGGTTTGTACTACAAATGAAGAATCCTAAAGTTAAGGGACCGCTCTATCTTATAAGGGAGTCCCTAGTCCACCTATCCTTGCCCTACAGGGAGATGTATTATCCTAGACTGGAAAAAAAACCCTACTACCTACTATTTATCTTCCAAGGTTGTTAGCCAAGCATCCTTAAAAAGATAATCCAGACAAAAGTTTATATACATACATATATGTATGCAGAGGCCAGAACAAAACATGGGGAATTGTCTCCCAACAATAAAAATAAATCTGGTCTGTGTGTGTGTGTGTGTGTGTGTGTGTGTGTGTGTGTGTGTGTTTGCGCGCACACATGTGGGTGTGGGGCAGGCTGAAGAATGACAAACTCAGACGTGTGAAGAGGAGGGTGAATAGACGGTTTAAGTGTCCTACACCTAACACATGGTTGGGAAATGAAAGCTCTGGTGGCTAATTTCTTTGTTGAATCATGAGAAAATGAAAAATGCCGTCAAAGATAGGGAAAAGTCATTTGAAGTAATGCACAGAAACATTGGAAGAACTGATTTGGATTTTGCCATAAATGCAATGGCAGGTGGTTTTAAAATGGTATGAGTGGGGAGGGCCCATGATTAGATTTTCTTTTAAAAGCACAAGCTAGGAGGGCTGGGGATTTAGCTCAGTGACACCACATCCGCCTTGCAAGTGCAAGGTCCTGAGTTCTGTCCCTGGTACCCCCACAAAAAGCACACTCTAGGTAATCTACCCTTCAGTAAACTGTAGCTATTGTCTTCATTGGTCCAATCTAGTTCATCGCCCTTCTTCTAATCATTTGCCTCTTGCCCTTCCTGGACAGTAAGCGACCCCAGCCTGGCCATTTACTGTATCCCACGTCCTGCACACAATTATTGCTCAGAAGTGACCTGGGGATGAAAGCTGAGTCTAGCAGAGACCTTCCTGAGGTGGCCCTGTGTGGAATTAACCAAGAGGGAGGCCTGTACCGTAGAACTGGAAAGAGGTCAGTATCAAGCTGCTGGCAATTACCTTCCTTACCAACTGGCAAAGAGCTCTCCTAGGTAGGGAGAATGAGGTCACACAGAGCAAAGGAAGAGATCAACAGAGAGGGAAGAGTCATGCAGCACAGTCTTCACTTCACTCTCTGAGATTTCTGCTTTGCAGTCCCAGAGGCTAAGCTTTACCCTCCCTGACTCAGAGCGTCAGCAATTTCCTCTACATTTAAACTTGCTGGATTTCTTGCCTTATGTCTATAGGAGTCCACCCTAATTCAACAGACTTCTTAAACCAAGTATTTTGGGCTGTTTTTGTCTTCCTTTTAGTTTCCAGCCTTTATTCCTCAGAGAATGGAAGAGAGAAGACAAAGTAATAGGAAGCTAAGAGAAGTGGGGAGTGACTCGGTATGTTCCCTGAGAAACACAGCAGAGGAAATGAGCCATCTCTGCTTCTAGAATCAGGGTCCCACCGAGAAGATGGGAGTGTTTGGATTTTCTTTTCTGAGCATAGGATTAGGGTGACACTTCACTCACTCGAATTTCAGCAAAGCCATGTGACTTGCTTCGAGTATTAAATACGATCAGGGAGGATGAAGATTACCTCGGAGCAGAAGCTTTATGTGCCAGTGTGTGGCTTGCCAAATTCCTCTTCTCTTGTCTCTACAAGGAAATTCCCCCTGTCATGAAAGCCGAGGTATTTTAAATTCCTCTGCCCTTTGAAAAAGGAATAAATAGCTTAGCTCAGTATAAGAAACAGTGAATATCTAGATAACGAAAAATAAAGATGATCGTGTTCCATTATAATCATGTTCCTGTATTTTTCTCAATAAAGTATTGATTTTTCTCTTTTTATAAAAGCATTCTAACAAAACTGTGAGAAAACTGAGAGCATATTTTATCCCACTTCTTAAACTTTATATTTTGAGCCAAGAAGCAACTTGTCTCTGGGGCCTTCTCCAACTTTGTCAAATAAATATAACATTCTTCTACCTAAACTCTGTAGGACTTGAAATTTATCGCATTCTATAAAGTATTAGTGTTCTCTTAAAGTGTTGCGTACTTCTACTAGACTCTGAATTTCTAAAGAAACAACAGTTCATATACACTTCTGTTAAGTCCTCAGTATCTAGTGCATATATATCTATATATCTATCTACTTATATATGTACATCTATCTATCTAATATATCTGTGGGGAGCAACACCATTTCCCCCACTTAACTCTTAATGCAGAGGGCTTTTTGGCTACTTTAGGAAGCCAGTTAGTACATGAGATGATTCACAAGTAAAAGGCACAAAAATTTATCAGTTTTACAAGTACATGTGGATCGTTACCAAAAACTGAATTCTGAAGTAATGATTGAAGCACGATGCTTTTAGACTTTTTAAACAAACTTTGTGAAGGAATGAGAGGAGAAACGGATCCCTGAAATAGGGATGCCACTAAGAGACACGCGTGCACATGTGTGTACGTGTGTGTGTGTGTGTGTGTGTGTGTGTGTGTACGTGTGTGTGTGTGTGTGTGTGTGTGTGTGTGTGTGGAGGGAGAAGTGAAAGGTAAGGGTTACTTCAAAGAGTTGGTTTCTTCAGGTTCATTGCAGGCCCGGTAGGAACCTCCAGCAGTCAAGGCTGCTTTTCTGTGTTGGCATGTGATGGCCTTCCTCGGCAAAAGAATCTATGGTTTGTTGCATGTAAGGGAGGAAATGCAAGCCAAATGGCCCTTTCTGCAGGTACAGCTCCTCAAGTGGTTTCAGCTTAGAACAATCAGCACGTGTCTGTAGAGTCTCTCCTTAACTGCTACACGTGTTTAATGAGTAACTGAATAATGAAACTCTGGCACAATGAGCTGTAAGGTATTTCTTTTATATTTAGTTTTTAAGAGTTGTTCGTGTATAATCGATATGTAACAATCTGCACATATTTAAAGTGTACCATTTGATAAGTTTTGCAACATGTGTGCACTTGAGAAAACACTAAGCCAGTCAAGAAAATGAACATATCCACAACTCCCGAAGTTTTCCCATACCCCTCTGTAGGCTACCCCTCCCTCTCATCCCCCGCCGAACAGTCTCTCTTACTTCCATGTTCTGTAGCTGGGTGCATTGAGCCATAAATCCAACAACCACGATTTTAAGAGCAATTTTGAATATGTGATGTGTTCACAAATACAATAAAATGAAAAAGTAAGTTTCTAATTCTATAATTCCCCAGTGATCACTGTCACATATGCACATACTCACACACATATATAAAGAGTTAAAATAACCAGAGAAGCTAAAAATGGTTTCAGGAAAAGGTTTTCTTACTGTGCCATCAAGGAGATGAGACCCTGCACTCAGTCCCCAGGGGTCTAGAAAACTCTGAGAAGGCTTTGTTTTATCTCCATAGGTGGCTCCCATCCTCAGGGACTGAATGGCATTTATGTTATTCTTAGCATGTTGGCTATAATTTGTAATTTCCCCTCGATGAATCAGGAAAAAAAAATGCAGACTGAAACTTCTGTACCATCCCAGGGCTGTGATGGATTAATATTCCTGTAAGTAGTGCTTTAACAATACTCCGTTCCTTTGAAAACCCTTCATGGGTCCTCCACTCTCTAAGGATGAAGCTTTGATTGTTGGGTCTGCCATCAAACCCTCCCTGACTCAGTTCCAGTCTATCTTTCCAGTCCTCCATACTGTAACTACCTGGAGAGTAAAACTCTCACCTCCACCCAAACAAATCTACCGCTATAGTTTGAATGTGGTTTGAAGTTTCACAGGCTGGAAGCTTGGTCCTCAAGGTGGTGATGTTGAGGCAATGGAACCCACAGAGGTGGGACCTTTAAGAGTCAAGCATAGGGAAATGAGGTCATGAGGCCTTGCCCCTGGGAGGTAGTAAAGCTGATTTTGCAGCGGGACTCACTTCTTGCAAGGGCAAGCTATTCCAAAAAGAGCAAGCCTGGCCTCTGAGTCCTCTGACTTCCTGTCCCACCTGTGACTGTGCTCTCTCTCTCTCTCCGTTTTGCACATGCTCCTACCACATGCCCTTCTCCAGACTGTGAAGCTGCCAGGAAGGCCTGGGCCAGAGGGCAAGTTAAAGGGACTCACTCAATCTTGGACAGTGAGCTCCAAAACTGTAAACTAAACAAACCTCTGTTTCAGCATAATCTAGCCTCGCAACATAAAGTGGACTAGCAGATGACTAATTTTTCCTGAGGGAGACCTGTATATAGTCCTTTATTCAGGTGTTTGGTAAGGCCAGAAGGCTATTCTTTACCATTTGAAATGCTCTTTTATCATCTCCCGCTCCCAAACTCTTACCTAAATGCTAAATGCATAGTTGCTTCCTCCTTCAAAAAGGTGTCATGGAAACTATCGGTATGATCTCTCCTACTATTTCTATACACTGCAGATTTATTATCTCTACTACTCTTAAGCCATTTCTCCCAATACCACTTAAACTCCCAATTCTTTTTTTTTTTTTTTTT